CTTAAAGAATGTGTTTAATTCATCTTTTTTTTTCTTATTTTTATCTATTTATGAATAATCACCAAGTATTTATTTATCACCTTAGATACAGGGTACAAATGGTGCATTATTATTATTATTATTACTATTACTATTATTATTATTATTATTATTATTATTATTATTATTAATTTGTATTAACTGTCCAACCTGAATCGTGATTGAACATTCATTGTTTTATTTTATTTTATTTATTTATTTTTTTTTTGTTTTTTTTTTGTGTGTTTAGGAATATAAGTATTTCATTTGTTTATAATAACATTACATTCTTTCATACAAATTTTTATATGAAAATTCTTAAGAATGTTTATAATTACTTATATTAGTCAATCATACAACAATGTAGAACTGAGCATATATGTACATTAGTTCAAGATCATGAATCGATTGATGTTAGATTATCATTGAGAACTTGGAAGGACTGAATAATCGTTTCGTTCTATTGTGAGATTTTTCAACAGTGTGCATCCAACAACCCGCCTCATGTGATTTGAACCCAAGACCTATCGGTCTTGTGCATGAACATTTAATCTTTAGACCACTGAGTTGGCATCTGGCGCTGTTATTGTTTAACTTCAACTAATCAATGTAATTGAGCGACATATACACTATCTCACAATAGATGCGGTCGAACTTCACTGGTCATTGGTTCTCACTAGAATTACAGAAAATACCACTTGAAGGTTTTCTATGGTGGTCTAACTTCAATGGACTCATAATTTCAACTACTAAAATATCCACAAAACCCCTTCTGATAACTTCAATTTGTAAAAGGTATCAACTTCATGGAAATGTATCAATATACGTTATTAAACCAAAACTATTATTTGTGTATCAATTTAAATATTTCGAATCTTCCTTTATAAATTACATAGTTTATATGACATCATCAAACTGAAGAACAATAAGCAATTAGTAATTCAGTTAGTCAGCTACAATGTAAGACCAGGCATATATATATGTATATATAACATTGAATAGTACATTATATAGAATTGTCTAAAATTGTAGAGTATTAATATCGTCAATGAGTTTTATTCTATTAGAAATACAAATGATATTGTCTAATCAAAGAGATGATAAAGTAGTTATTGAGTGATTTAAGATATTAGACTCTTAACTAATAAGTTACAAGTTCGAAACCCTGGTCTATTCATTAACCTTTGTACAAACAATATGGTTGAAAAACACTAATATACAATCTATACTCTGTATATGAAGAGTATATCTATATATATATATATATATATATATATATATATATATATATATATATATATATATATATATATATATATATATACATGTATTTTGAACACTAGCTTAGTAGACTGTTTAGAATTGAATCGCATCAACTATAATATATGTATATGTATTGGGCGTGTCAATATCCAACTATTCTAAATCGTCTTTTATTAATGAAATAAGTCATTGAAAGTGGATAGATATTTATTTGCACTTAATTGTATTGCACTTCTAAATAGATATATTGTATTGTTAGTTATGTAAATGTGTTAAATACATATGTACAATACATATATATATATATATATATATATATATATATATATATATATATATATATATATATATATATAGAAGCGAACAATATTGTTTTCAATTAGATCCTCATCAAGCTTAACTCTAATATACAGTAATATGAAATTATTAAACCAATCAAAGCAGTTTATGAGTTCATGATGATAATAATCAAATAGATTACATGACTAAAGAAATAAAAAGTACAAATTAGTAGTGTGATCTTGATTGAAATGAGTTATCCACAGGATTTCCTGAAGTTGCAATTCAATGCAGATATAGCTAGTGATGTACTACGGGATAAATTAGACTACTATGGAAAACCTGAAAGCACTGGACAGCTGTTTCGTCCTAATATGGGACTCCTCAGCAGTGCGCACCTACGATCTCACCCTCCCCCGAGAGATTCAAACCCATAACCTACCAGTTTCGCGCGCGAGGGCTTAACCATTGAATCGATGAGCCAGCATCAAACGGTGTCAATATCTAACTTCAAATATACGTTTAACGGTCCAATTATCTGAACACTTCTTATTACGTAATCTTATGACTTTTATGACTGTTAGTTCAGTGTCTATATTTTTCTAATCATTGACCTATTTCCTATTATATTAACATCGATTCAAGCCTTTATTATTTTTATCACAATTAGTTCACCTATCATCACACTAGCGATTTGTACTTTTCACTTTGTTATGTAATCTATTTCACTGTTATCATCATTAACTCATAAACTGCCATGATTGGTTTAATAATTTCGTATTAATCTATATGAGAGTAAAACCTGATAAGGATCTAATAGAAAACAATTAAATTAAACTCATTAACTTAGTTCGAGTTCGTTAGCAAATTGTGTATGTATTTGGAGGAGAGGGGTGAAGGGATATTAAACAGATACTACTTAACTGTTTGAGCCGGGTTAATTATATTTGAAACATGCATCTAATTGATAGGATGTCAAACACAGAAAGCATTAAGTTGTGAATTAGTATTAGTATTTAAATGAGATAGTATGTTTAAATAGGAAAAACATTATTCTTTTAACCACTGTTTGGTAAGCTTCAACTCTAATCCATATCACTATAAGCAATTGAGTAGTATTAATAGTAGTTGGAGGAGAAGACGACCAATATAACAGCAGTAGGTTTCAATATACACGAAGGGAAAAGGAAGATTCTCCGATACAACACTGCAAGCAACAATCGAATCAAAATTGACGGAGAAGATTTGGAAGATGTAAAAATCTTTACATATCTGGGTAGCATCGTTGATGAACACGGTGGATATGATGCAGATATGAATGCGCGGATCGGCAAAGCAACAGCAACAAATTTACATCTGAAGAACATCTCGAACTCAAAACAATTGGCAACCAACACCAAAGTCAGGATTTTCAATACAAATGTCAAAACAGTTCAACTGCATGGGGTCGAAACCTGGAAAACTACGAAAGCCATCATCCAGAAGATACAAGTGTTTAATAACAGTCGTCTACGCAAAATACTCAATGTCCGTTGGCCAGACACTATTAGCAACAACCTACTGTGGGAGAGAACAAACCATATTCCAGCGGAGGAAGAAATCAGGAAGAAGCGCTGGAAGTCGGTAGGACACACATTGAGGAAAGCACCCAGCTGTGTCACAAGACAAGCCCTTACATGGAATCCTCAGGGTCGAAGGAGGAGAGGAAGATCAAAGAACACACTACGCCTAGAAATGGAGACAGACTGCATCACGAGGCAAATCGTAACTTGGAATCTTGAAGGGAAGCGGAAAAGAGGAAGGTCGAATAACACATTACGTCGGGAAATAGAAGCAGATATGAAAAGGATGAATAACAACTGGAAAGAGCTGGAAAGGATTGCACAGGACAGGGTTGGATGGAGAATTCTGGTGAGCGGCCTATGCTCCTTCACGAGGAGTAACAGGCGTAAGTAAGTAACTAAGTATGACCATCGTTCGCATATATATTGAACAGCAACAACAGCAATTCAGAAGACTAACAGTCTCCCAAATTTTACGAGCATTCCATGTACCTAAATAAATGGTTGATCTGATTGTCAGAAGGGGCATCAATTTCGTGACTACTGAAGGATCTCGGCTTTCACCATGAAGCGCCATAACTCTTCTAAATGAACATCTTCTAACTCCCAAGGACAGAGTTTAAATCATTTGAATAATTTTTTTATGCTAAACGTTTATTTTAGCAAGTGTTATAACTTGTGGTTTGTACCCTTAGTTCTTTGTTTTTCACCCCGTCGCCAATTGTTATAACGCTCAGTTTTACTTCGTCTAATGTTATAACGGTTGGATTTCCACGCATGGGACATTAATTTACTACAGATGAATATCTACACTAGATTCTCTCCCATTGTCTATTACACAAGACTTCAACATAACTCAGATCAAGAAAACGTGATTAGCCTGACCACAACGTAAATATATTTCTAAACCAAAACCCAACACAATCCAACAACAATGAACAATCAACAATGAGCGGGTAATAATAATAATAATAATAATAATAATAATAATAATAATAATAAGGATAAAGGAATATATAATTCATCTGACACCTGTCAAACTATCTACATGCCGAGAGTGGGGAGAGTCCGCTCTCCCTCTCGAAATGCTCTCACATGGCCATGCGTATATAGCCTCTGCTAGGGAAGTCCTACTCACTGCCTTCTCGTGGCATGATTGTTGTTTACAAAAATGAGAGGACGAAAAGCGAATGTCCGGCGCTTTAACCGGATCCCAAACCAATGGTGCATATGGGCTGGCTCCAGTATCCTGAAGGAATAAATGGCGTATGAACCAATCATTGGTCACCGGCTACCATGGGACTGCATCTCCTCACGATACTCCACTGCCTTGTGGGTCAGACGTTTAGGTCGAAGGCTCGGGGTGTGACCCCCTAAGAAAACCACCTGTTTCGGTTTGGGCACCCGGGCAGTATCACAGCCCTCACACAAATCAATTGAGATTCGTGTGGCGCATATGTACTTGGTGCCTCCCTGTACCTATACTTATGTGTTAAAATAAATAAATAAATACATGTCTAAGTAAGCAGACAACCAATCATTATCATTCTCACCTTCACTTCAGCAAGTAAATGTTCTACAGGATAGAGTCGTTAACCCGATACCCAACCCTCCTTCTTTATCTGAGCTTGGAACTGACAGTAGCCCCAGATAGTCTTCAGGAGGATTTTTATTAGACAGAGACTAGTATAATAAAACAAATGAGATTTAAATAAGAACTTAAGTATGATATATAAATGAAATGATATCTTTTTATACTTATGACAGGATTGGATAGAGAATGCTAGTGAATGACCTATCCTCGATCACAAGGAGTAATAGAAATAAGTAAGTATAACAATGGAACATCTTTTACACTTAAAATATAATTATACTTACCTAAAATATTTTTTAATTTTTGTTTCATTTCTTGAAATGTTTTTGATTTATTACATTCAATAATACCATCATTGAATAATTGTATAAGTGATTCAGATATATGTGGATTTGGATAAAGTATTTCATTATTTAATTGATCACATTCAAAATTAACAGGTTCAGCTAATAGAAACAACAAAAACAACAGCGAAAGTAGTATTTCAGTAGATTCATTATACATACATAATGATATATTATTATTATTATCAACAAAACAGTCAGTCAGTAACAACGTGGAACTCTGTACGTACGTACATCAGTTCGAGTTGCCATACCACAACGACTTGTATGACATTATCTCAGTGCTAAACCAATAATACATCAAACAGTACTAACAATCACAAATCAACTCTCAGTTCTCATTGGTCCTCTGTATGACAACTTCTCAACTACCCGCAATTCGTTCAGTTCAGAACATAGATATCAGTCTTCGTTATGTGAATCATATATTTCAGATATATGGGGTTGATATACAAGTAGCCTAAACCATATCACATGCCAAAATGAAAAAATAATAATTATACAAGATCAAGCTAAAAGGAGGTTGTGAGTAGAAACCACTGTAACTAATAGATTGGGAATAAATTAAGTATAGTTAATCGTATAACAGTGGTCAATAAGATAAATCAAAGATTATAATAAAAAGAAATATGGTGAAGATTTGTAGCTTAGGTGGATGATTTTGATAAAGTTTTGTTCTCTGAACTAGATGGTTTGATCTTCTGGACGACATCATTAGCATAAATTTCAGATAGAAGTGAAATGTTCAAATTTCTCCATATGTATTTCACAGATTGTTCTATACACCTTGATGTTGATTGATTCTTATCCACCTTAAATTTGTCATTGTTTTGGTTGTGTCTCCTAATGGGAGACAGCTCATAGAACAAAAGTCCATCAAGAAAAACAAAAATGAATATATATGTAGATTAGTTACTTATTTAGTATAAATTCTACTTACTTAATGATATATTATCACCATATAAACCAGCCATAACACAACGTAATGATTTAATAGTTCTAGCAATGAAAGTAGTTCTTAAACTAAAAGAAACAATAACAATAACAACAACAATATTAACATTATCATTATGTTTAATATGAATAGACCTACTAAAATTGTGATGATTGAAATTGATAGGAAAGAAAATGATCATTGTCTTTATATTGTTTTCTTAAACGTATACCTAAATTATATGCATCTTGTTGACCAGTTTTAGTTAATTCACCAACTTTATTACCACCCTATAAATGAAATTTTATATTATTATTATTATTATTATAAACTATAATATACTTACAGGTAATACAAATAATTTATCTAAATAATCAGATGATAATTGAATTTGTTTCTGGGTAGATATATCAATTAAACGATAAGGAAATAATGTATGCGGTAAATCTGTTGATAATTCTGGAGACCATATAGCCTAAGAGAGGAAAGAGGGGGAGGAGGAGGAGGAGGAGGGGGATAAAATAAGTAATATCATTTTACTTCAGGAAAAATAGGTGATTTAACATGAAATAAAGGTGTTCTTGCACCATGACGAAAAAATACTTGAACTTGTAAAAGTTTCATTGAATTATCCCTAAAATAATAAAATAAAAAGAATGTTATTATTACATTAAATAAATAGACTTACATAATCAAATGTATTGTACACTTATATGAATTGAGAAAATCCTAAAAAGCTGAAAAATAGAGAGAAAAATTAACGATAAATATTTATCAATTCGGTGAGATCTATAACTAATGGAAAATATTTGAGCGAATTGAAAGAGATCTTGAGAATGTCCACATATATAGTACGGTTAATTGGGGGGGGGGGTTATAAACCAATATGAGGAATTAGAATTATGATTTACAATTGATAAATAGGGTTAGGAATCAGATATAAGGTTTTCATAATGAACTAATATCAGCTATAATGTCAAAATTCTATTCAATTAATTTTGAGCCAAAATTTGAAACTTAATATCGTGAATGTGATGGGTTTGTCCATAAATTATAGTCTCGCTAATAATTCTTGAAAATATTATAAACATTATTCGGACAGATGATTCACATATATTTCGCCTAATCTCAAGTAATCTAAAAAGACCTGAATGAGATACAATTTTGAATAAGATAGCGTGATACCATACTCCCAAATACCCTGGTACGGTCGACAGTGTAAAGAGCCAGCCCTCTTTCTCAAGATGCTCTCACATAGACACGTGCATACAACCACCGTCAGGAAAGTACTACTCAATGCCTTCTCGCGGCATTACTGTTGTTTATGAAATTGAGAGGATGAAAAGCGGATGTCCGGCACTTTAACCGGGTTGGTGGATACGGGGAGTCCGCTTAGAGGAGTTGGAAAACCCTGACTAAAAACCACTAATGCATATGGACTCCAGGATCCTGAAGGAACAGATGGCGTATGAACCTATCGTTGGCCACTGGCTACCATATGACTGCGTCTCCTGACGTTGCTCCACTTCCTTGTGGATCAGAATTTCAGGTCAAAGACTCCGGGTATGCTCCCACCACTGGCTTCGGTTTGAGCACCCGGGCAGTATACCAGCCTTCACACAAATCGAATGGTTTATGTAGCGCATATCTGTTTTGCGCCCATTTGTACCAATGTTTGTGTGTTCAGATAAATAAATATAAAATGTGTGATACCATATATGGTTAGTCAAGTGAAAATAGAAGCTTACTAGCAATAAACAGATCTATGCGCTCAATAGTAAATCACTTATGTATGGCGCATATATATTTGGTGCCCTCTTGTACCAATATTTATGTGTTCAAATATATAAAATAAAAAACAAGACAGATAATGCTCTCCATATATGAATTATTATTTGGAATTAAATAGCTTTGGATAGTTTTTAATTCTGGTTAATCAGTCATAATTATTATGTAAAAGCTAATTTTATTACTGTCTCGGCTATGATACCGTATATCCGGTAGAAGGGGGCAGATAAACACCTGATACTTAAATATTTTGAAAGGAATTATTATGTAAATAACCGATGTTTGGAAATGTAATTGAAGTTAATGAAATAATAAAGAAATAATGACATATCAACCGGGTCAGTTGTGAGATAGTAAATCACTGAGGACAATGTTGAATGTGTCGCTCAATAACGTGGATTAACATTAACAGCGTTGGATGCCGGCCAGCTCGGTGGTCTAGTGATTAAGTGCTCGCGTGCAAGATCGATGGGTCCTAGGTTCGAATCTCGCAGGGGGCGGGATCGTGGATGCGCAATTCTGAGGAGTCCCACAATGGGACGAAACGGCCATCCAATGCTTCCAGGTTTTCCATGGTGGTCTAGTTTTAATTGACTCATGATCTCAACAACTGAAATATATTGACGTACTTTGGACTATATTATATTCAATTGGAATATATATGTTTTGAAAAGATTATCCTCATAATCACTATCGAAATATTAGCTTTAGGTGTTCATGTTTAGACCTAACTTTCACTAGATAATTTGCCTTGATCACTAGTTTGAAAGTTTTACAGTTATAAGATCAATTGATCGCTATAACTAGGTATTCTTAATCTGCTTTAAAAAAATACAAGACAATTTTATAACAGTTTCTATCATTAGGATTTTATTTTTTGCCTAGATAGGGATTCGTATAATTAATCATAATATTTGTGAACTCTCAATCTTAGTATTCTTCAGAACCGATACAGATACACACAGTCATTATCCAAACTAGAAATGATTGTTTGTGAAAATTAACTAGTTTTTCTTTTGAATTGTAATGAGTATATTCACTGGGATTTTAGTCTATTATTTAGGTAAGTTCTCATGTGTAACCAAGGGAATAATTAAAAAGACTGAATTGTGTATTGCGAAATATCAAAGGAAAGATCAAGTGTAATAAAAGTAAAGGCAAACAGTAAATGTTTATATTTAGGCTAATGTTATGTCCTATAGCCCGTCAAAGATATCACGTGACAAAAGATTATTAAACAAAACAACGAATGTATGACCTTGTACCAGTGCTAAACCAACAATGCACCAAACAGTACTAGCAATCTCGAGTCAACTCTCAGTTCTTATCGGTCCCCTGTATGACAACTTCTCAACTACCCGCAATTCGTTCAGTTCAGAACACAAATATCAGCCTCTGCTGTGTGAATCATATATTTCAGATATACGTAGTTGATATACAAGTAGACTGGACCGTATCACATCACAAAATGAAAAATAATAATTATACAAGATCTAGCTAAAAAGAAGTTGTGAGTATAGACCGTTGTAACAAATAGGTTGAAAATAAATTAAGTATAGTTAATCGTATAACAGTGGTCAATAAGTTAAATCAACGATTATGGAAAAAAGAACATAAATATATTTGTAGACTAGTGACTTAATAATCATCCAATAAGGATACATGTAATAAATATCCACCAATAATTCCTAGCAGTTACCATTCATTTACTCTATGTTCGCATATAATGGCATACCATACTAACAAGTAGTAAATGCATAGGACTGATTCCAATTTCCCAAATAAGTTATCCAGAAGTATTTACTGATGCGAATTTGTAATCCTGATAATTAATAAGGCAACTGCAATATGCAATTCTCAATATCCTACTTCATTACAGCATACATCTACTAGGAGTTATAAAGGATTCACTCGTCTACCAAGTACAATTTTACTGCATAGCAGTTCGCCCCGTTCTAATTTATAGATGTAAAACATGGCCATTGTGATCCCCACTACCCTTGTTTAGAAGAATATTTTGATTATTCTGAATCCATGATTCCCATCCTATAAGTGCTTTTTGTGCTACAATGAACAGAGAAAGCGTTGGCCATACGGAAATTCAACGACCGCCCCAAACATTTCGATCGTACTATATTTGATCGCGACACAGAGTCGAGTGTCTAAGTCTTATAGGGAAGATCTGCTATTATCGAATCTACATTGAAGATGTACTAAATTGGCTGAAATTGCTGTAAGATCATTTATTAGCTCACAGTACGTACTGAGTTGAATACAATTCGCCACATACGTAAAATTTACGATGACAGCGAGTGATCAGATAACTAAGTGATAGGCAGGATTCTTTTTAGTAGTAAAATTTGTTAATTACTTAGAAAAAGAAAGTATTTATGAAAATGCAAGGACTTTTAAGTAAACTCCAAATAGAGCACTATATTAGGCTAAAAATAAAGAACAGAGATCAAAGTGAACATCAAATAGGTCCTAGAAACAGGATATAACGCCTAAAAACCGATAAATAAATAAGGATTTAAGAACCAAATGTAAAGTACAGGTGTACAAAGAAAGAAATAAAAGCGGGAAATTCTAGCTATTATGCGTATCAAAAAATTTATTCCGGCAATGATTTAACTTCCTTCTAACTAACTGTGACTTTTAATCCTACTTCGAGTAAGCACTTCACATTGAGATAAAAACAGGAGCCTTACCATGAAGTCAAGCAACAACATTCAGGGAAATTGAATTGCCCGTTACAACCGGAAAACTCAATATGTAGCATTTTATTTATGAATATTAAAAATTGGGATTTTTAAGGTTGGGCACAGAACAATTGAAGTTTTAAAACTTAATCTATTTCAGAATCTTAAAGGAACATTTTTAATAACGAGAAAACATAATAATAAAACGAAGCACATTTGAGTAACTAATGCTGACTGATGAAAATAATTCTCTGGACACGACTCCAAGAAACCCTGCTACGAAACGACCTATATTAAGTGAAATCTTCTGCAGTTAAAGATTACTCAATGACCTGAGTATTTTAATGTGTGATTTGTCTAGGAACTTCAATTAAGACGGCGAAATCGACATAATCTTTTCATGAATCATAATAAAAACTCAGCTTCACTCTCAGTTTGTGCTTATCTAACGCAGCTACCTATTAAGCAAAGGATGACCCAGTGTTTCAAATTTTTTGTAGCTAAAAGAAAGATCATTAAATACTGAGAACCACAAGAAACCTCAGATACATAATGATCAATAGACATGATACTTAAAGAATAAGAATCTTGGAAAAAGTGAAAGGCAAAAACGAGCAGAGAAATTAAGAATGAATTCAGGTAATCATGCTAATGACATACCAAATGGTAAATAATTTAAGCTCGGGATATGCGAAGTGAAAAAAAGTTGTGACATATGATTTTGAAATTCCAACAGAAACGTAGATACTTATATCGGATAAGGTGCGAAACGATGTTTTCACAAATTACTTGCATATTAGACTAGAAAACTTAGCTTTAAGCGACCCTAGGAATTCCTAACAACATCGCATATTTGGTGACAGAAAAGTACCTTCAATTCACAAACACATACACAAACAACATCTATGAGTACAATTCACACAAACGGCGTAACTGCCAAAAATTTATAAGACCAGCGAATGAACTAACCATAGGTTCATGAGCGTAAGGTGAGAATAGTTTGGAAGGAAGCGCTGGAGCCACGACCTTAGTGAGAATCCAATGTCCAATAATCTCAATGAATGTATGAAAATCCGCAGTTTTTATTCTCCATTTCACCTTGTTGTTATGAAGGATGCGAAAGAAATAAATCCTCAAAATAAATAGCCCAATAAGTCTTTGACATTGGTTCATTAGTTCATCTTAACGTGTGTGTAGGCTCAAAATGGTTCAAATGGTTCAAATGGTTGTGGACGGAATAGAAGAAGCCTTCGCTTAACAGGCTTCTGTGTCTAATAGCAGTGAATCACCAATACCTCCAGGCAAGAACCTAGGTATATTAACGATAAAAGAGAAGAAAATAAATTAGTAAATCATAGTAAGATATTGTCCTTAGTCCTTAAGAATAGATCAAGTCGCCTCTTAAAGGACTCCTGGGAATTCGCTTGTACTAGCTCATCCAGCCGCTAATTCCAGCATTCAACAACTCTTAAGGAGAAGAAGTTGTGCCTGCAGTCCGTTCAACTATGTTGTATCTCTAATTCCTGGGTGTTACCCCTTAAGTTAATATTGGGACTAAGCTTAAGTAGGTGTTTAAAATGATGTCCAGGAGTGTTAAGGATACTGTAAGACATTAGAATGTCATTTCTAAGACGCCTATACTCTAATAGGTAGAGGTCAAGTGATCGAGGGCGCTCATCATAAGGTTTAATTTTGAGTCCTCGAACTAAATTCGTTGCTCGCTGTTGGATACGCTACAGAGTGTCCTTATCCTTTTGGAGTGTAGGACGGAATACTATGTTTCCGTACTCTAAATGGGGACGAATGAAAATATTGAAGATTATGTGGAAAATTCTCCCGTCAAACTGACCGAAATGCTCTTCAATGTTACCAGTGCAAGGTTTGTTCGAAAGGCATTTCTGTCACAGTTGGCCTAAGACTTTAAGTCGTAGGGCACCAGAACTCCTAAATCTTTTCCGACTAGGGATACTACTAGAGAGGAGTTTCCTAAAATGTAACTGTAATCTGCGACGTGTCGCAGATGGACTACTTTACACTTTGAAGTGTTAAAGGTAAGTCCGTTATCGTCTGCCCAACTTTGAAGTCGAGTCAGATCCTCCTGAAGTGCCTGTATATAGTCTTGGTTGCGTATCTCTCTCCAAAGTTTCACGCCACCGGCAAAGAGCGATATGTCTGACATTACCTGTTGAGGAGAGGTCCTAGTACTGAGCCCTGGGGGACCCCACTAGGACATTCCATAGCGTGTGAGAAATTGAAGTTTACATTGACCTTAGAATGTCGATTTGTCAGATATGAACTGAGCCAGTCAATTAAAGGTGGTTTGATACCCAATTGTCTGAGCTTATGGATAAAACATATGTGGTTAACCCTATCAAAGGCTTTTGAGAAATCAAGGTAAATGATATCAACCTTACCCTTGCGATCAACGATGCTTGTCCATCTGTCCACCGCAGTCAGCAGCTTCGTCATACAGGAGTCACCCTTCCTGAAACCACGCTGTTGTGGTGATAAGAAATTTAAGAACAGTAAATAGTCATGTATACTGTCGCATATCAGGGACTCTATGATCTTTGAAGGTATAGAGAGAAGAGCCACCGGTCGGTAACTTGAAGGTTCGCTGCGTCCACCTCCCTTAAAGATTGGTGTGATATGAGCCAGCTTCCAAATATCCGGTAGTTTGCCTTGACTTAGCGAGTGTTAGGACATCACGCTAAGCGGTGTTGCCAAAATTGAAGCTGCTTCCCTCAGTATAGCGAGTGGACCATATCTGGACCAGGAGAAGTGTCTGTCCTTAGGTGTTGTAGTTTACAGAACACCATGTCAGCGCTCAGTTTCACTACGGAAAGTCCTGTGCAGTTGCAGATAGAGCCGTCATCAGTATAGTTGATGTGGGTCGGTTGGAATGTCCGGGAGTATTGCTCAGCCAGAAGGTTAGCTGCGTCACCGTCGTTATCGGTCTGGCCGTTAGGACCTAGCAGTTGAGAAACTCCAGTTTTGGCTTGACGAAGAGAGACTGCGTAACGGAATAAGCTTTTCGGATTGGAAATAAATTTATCCATAAGCTTTAACTGGCACTGAAGCCTGTCTTCTCCCATAGCCTTCGTGCGTATGTTCCTTATATTTTTGTATTGCCTGTACGCTCTGTTGTTGTCGGTTCGTTTGTATTCTGCACAACAGTGCCTTTTACAGCTTAGCAAACGAAGAGTGTGGTTTTTGATGATTGTAGGTTGCATGTGGCTTTTGAGGACCGTTTGAGGAACATAATAGAGTGTGCAGTAGGAAGTCCCAATGAGTATCCACATCAAGTTAAGGGTGAACGTCCCAATCCATCTGTTGTAGATAGTCCTGTAGAGCTGACATATTCAACAGTTTGAAATTCCAGCGCCTGTTTTTGTTGGGATATCTTAGCTCAGTTTTACTGATAAAACTGAAGGCTATAACGGTGTGATCGCTTTTCCCTGAGGGAAGCCAGAATTGAGAGGTTGTCGACTAGAAATTCTTCATTTGTAAAAACACAGTCTAAGCGCGACGGTGTCTGACTGTTCCTCCAACGAGTTGACGACTTCACGTTTTCGAATAATCACAGATCCTCAATGAGGTTGAAGAACCGTGCTTCGAATGAATTTTCACCTCCAATATACGTATGTTCTGCGAAGTTGACTCTAGGGAGATTGAAGTCCCCTAGAATCAGGATATGAGTGAAACTGAGACGCGTAGAGCTGGATAGTCCTTCCAACATTCTACTGTTATACTCCATGTCGTCAGTGGGCTTCCTATATAAAACTCCGACTAGGCACCTCAAAGTAGTGGTCAATCTCACAGAAAACCATATGGATTCTTCAAGATTGTTAAACTCGTGATCGTGAACATGGCGTACCTCCAAGCCAGATAGTATGTATACGGCTTCTCCACCCCCGATTCCTGTTTTTCTGTCGTTGCGAAACAGAGACATCCCAGGTATTGCTAGCTCTTGATCCGAAAACTGAGAAGATATCCAAGTTTCGGATATTCCTATCAGATTAACCATATTAGCATTGCTAAGTTCACGTAGCTCATCCATTTTGTTTGGTAGACTCGCGGAGTTCATGTATAAGCAGTTAATGCTTACAATCTGAAAGTTTTTGGGGGTAGACTGTGCGGTCAAATCACCAGTTGATTTCCGTACAACACTTGGGATGTTAACCTTAGACGGTGACACCTGTTCATTTTTAGCTCTGTTGGCGTGGGTGCAGTCGCCTGCAGAGTTTTTGGGAACCACTTTTGCGTTTAAGGACCCTGGACTGGGAGATCCAAGTTTAGTGAGGGAATCAATTACCGTCGACGTATTGATGGTGCTGAGCTTCAACATGTCATCATTAGAGCTAATGCATGCCCCATCGATGGTAGACTTATCGACATCCCTATTCTTGTTTTTGATAAGTGCCCTTGTTTGTCTACCCGATTTATGGCTGTCTTTTTCCAAGTTTGCTGACAACTTATTCCGCAGACTTGTCAATAGAACAATGGTGTTACTCAGCAAAACTACAGCATTAGTGCTGTACGTAACACACACCCACTTATGATACGACTTCCTGAGTCTGTTGTAAGCAGTTTCTGTAAGATCTGTGCACGCTTCATGGAACCAACCTTTGCAGTTGTCGCATTGCATGCCAGATGTAACAGCGAAACGACATCCAGGTCGTTTGCATGAATTTTTCATGACTGTATTGACGTAAACTGTGTTAGAGATAGTATTGAAGCTTAAGACAGTTAAAAATACACTAAAAGGCATACTAAAACGGAAAAAATGTATGAAAACGGATGAGATAAAATGAACTAGCCTTTACGTGAAAAACTGAAAAAAACTGAATAGTAAGCTGAGGCAAAACCACAGTTAACTATTAAATTGGGCGAAACTCAAAAACGTAATCTACCGAACGTATAGCTCAGAATAGATTGTTTTGATCAGAAATGGTACTTTTTTTGCGTAAGAACACAGCAAAAGTTTGAGAAATAGAAACCACGTTAGGACTAAACTTCCCGTTCGAAAAACTTGTTAACTGCATTTTCGTTGTTGCTGATCTTTTCATAACTCCGCCTGTAGCTCTCCTAGAGTTACTGCTGTTCCCAAGCCCGGATAAAGGAGGAGGGTTGGGCATGAGGTTAGCCTCCCCATCCCGTATAAAACTAACTCGCTAAAAAAACGCTTATCAGAAAAAATAACTCAAACCATTTGAACTCTGCCCTGGGAGTTAGGTTTTCATTTAGAAGAAATATGACGCCTCAGAGTGAAAGCCGAGTTCCTTCGGAAGCCATGAGGCCGATGCCCCTTCTAACCACCAGAGCAAAACTTTTTATAGGTACATGGAACGTCCGGACAATGTGGGAGATCGGGAAGGCCATTCAAATAGCAACGGAAATGAGGAGATACAAATTGGCAGTACTGTAATCAGCGAAACGCATTGGACCCAAGCTGGCCAACAAAGGCTAAATACGGGAGAGATGCTGCTATACTCCGGTCACGAAGAGGAAAATGCTCCACACACTCAGGGAGTTGCTCTAATGCTATCCAAAGTAGCACGAAATGCACTTGTAGGATGAGAATCTCACGGATCCAGAATCATCAAAGCATCATTCAAAACAAAGAAGGAGGGGATCACAATGAACATTATCCAATGTTATGCACCCACCAATGATAGCAACGACGACGTTAAAGATCAATTCTATGAGAGGCTGCAATCAATCATAGAGAAGTGCCCAAGAAAGGACCTCACCATTCTGATGGGAGATCTAGACGCCAAAGTCGGAATAGACAACACCGGATATGAAGATATCATGGGAATGTATGGACTGAGAGAGAGGAACGAAAACGGGGAAAGATTTGTAAATCTGTGTGCATTCAACAAATTGGTCATAGGTGGCACAATATTTCCACACAAACGTATACACAAAACTACATGGATCTCACCGGACCACACCACAGAGAACCAGATAGATCATA